TGGCCGGGGTCGCGCGCGAAGGCCCTCACCTTCCCTCCCGCCGTCTCCCGTCCGCCCCGCTACCCCCGAGCAGGATGCGGCTGGGCCGCCGGGCCCTCTGCGCGCTGGTGCTGCTGCTCGCCTGCGCCTCGCTGGGGCTCCTGTACGCCCGCACCCGAGACGCGCCGGGCCTCCGCACGCCTTCCGCGCTCTGGACAGCCCCGCAGGTCGCCCCCAGGCCCGAGCTGCCCGACCTGGCCCCCGAGCCCCGTTATGCGCACATCTCGGTCAGGATCAAAGAGCGAGTGCTGGGGTGAGTGCCCGCCGCGGCGGGGGCGGCGGCCGGGCCGGGGGCTCCCCGGGGAGCTTTTGTTCCCAGCGCTGCGGGCTCAGCCGCCTCGCTTCTCCGGAGTGCGGTGCGGCGTGCAGTGGGTAGAGCGGGCGCGCAGCGGCGGCGCGGGCCGGGACCAGCAGCACCCCCGTCTTGTGGCCCTGAGGGCCCCGGAAGGCTCCCGGTAGCCTCATGTAGACCCCAGAAGAGTACAGAGGGTTCCTGAACGGTGGGTAGGTGGCTCCGAAATCCTAGGAATCGTCCTGCTCTACAGCTCTGTAAAATCCGGGCTTGGGATGGCTCGTCTCACGCGTGCTCCTGTCTCCTGGGGACTATTTGAAGAGCAGCGCCTAGAGGACACATAATGGACGGGCAGTGCGAGGAGCCGAGGCGTGGGGTGCTGTGTGTATTACGGGGTGAACGTAGCAAGGCTCTGAAGACCCCTCTTACCTTCAGGCTGCTGGCCCAGAACAACTGCAGCTGTGAGTCCAGCCGGGGGAGCCTCCCCCTCCCCTTCCAGAGACGGGTCCAAGCCGTTGATCTCACCAAGGCCTTTGACCCTGAAGAGCTGAAGGCTGCCTCTGCCGCCAGGGAGCAGGAGTTCCAGGCCTTCCTTGCAAGGTACCAGCCAGAAAGGAAGCATGCCTCTGCGGGCAAAGGCCGTGCCGGCCTGCAGTGGCTGTGCCAGGAGGGTGAGCCTCTCTGCCCCTGACTCCGCCTGCCTCCCCTCCTCTGCCACCAGGAGCCAGTCCCCTGCCGACCAGCTGCTTGTAGCCCCTGCCAACTCTCCCCTACAGTACCCGCTGCAGGGTGTGGAGGTTCAGCCCCTGAGGAGCATCTTGGTGCCAGGTGGGAACAAGGGTCCTAGAGGAGAGGCTACGGCCTGTGGGGGGCAGTGCCTGAGACGCAGGTGGAAGGTGGGGGTGAAGGAAGTTTGGAATGAGAAGTGAGGACTTCTGTCCAAAGGTAGGAATTGCAAAAGACTGCAGTAGGGGGTTATTCTTTGCTAACAGGTCAACGATTAGGTGGACAGGTTAGAATGGGCCTCGGAAGAGCTGCTGCTTAGATAGGAAGGAGTCCAAAACCAGGGTCAGCCTGGCGTGGTGGCACACGCCTGTAATCCCAGCACTTGGTAGGCTGAGTCAGGAGGATTGTTGTGAGTTGGAGGCCAGCCTGAACTGCATAGTGAGACTCTGTCTCAAAAAGACAAAAAGAAAAAATAAAAATACCAAACAAAACTAGGGCCTAGGGAGGCCTCCAAAGAGATGGGCCTGTTTGAGTGTTGTACATGTGATGAACAAGGAGAAAATTAAGGAAGAGTTCGGAGCTCTCTGTAATTTTGGTTCCTCATCCTTCCTCCCAGGCCTGAGTCTGCAGGCAGCGTCTGGTCAGCAGGTGTACCAGGTGAGAGACAGGAGAGCAAGGTGGCAGGTGGGCATCAAGAATGCTGGGGAGACCGGGCATGGTGGCGCACGCCTGTAATCCCAGCACTTGGGAGGCTGAGGCAGGAGGATC